CCCCCCAGCGTTGCCCTTTGTGCTCAGGGATGCTTTGGCTATCTGGGGTCTTTTGCACTTCTATATGAGTTTAAGGATGGTTTTGTCTAATTCTGTGAAGTATGTCATGGGGATTTTGATTGGAATTGTATTGAATCTATATGTTGCTTTTGGTAAGATGGTCATTTTTACAATACTAATTCTTCCAATCCATGAGCATGGGAGGTGGCGGGAAGTGGCCCCAAGGACTCCTGATGACTGCACTGAGGAGATGGGTTTGCGCAATGGACTTACCCTGGAGAGAGTCCTGCAGGTTGGAGAGAGCGCTACTGATTTTTTGTAGATTAATTTTATAACCTGCCACTATACTGAAAGTGTTGATCAGTTCTAGGAGTTTTCTGGTGGAACTTTTTGGGATCTCTTAGGTATAGTATCATGTCATCTGCAAAAAGTGATCGTTTGACCTCTCCTTTTCCAATTAGTACTCCTTTAATTCCATTCTCCTGTCTTATTGCTCGAGCAAGAGTTTCAAGCACTATGTTGAAAAGGAGTGGAGAAAGTGGACATCCTTGTCTGGTTCCTGATTTCAGTGGGAATGCTTTCAGTTTTTCTCCATGTAGAATGATGTTGGCTGTGGATCTGTTGTATATAGCTTTAATTATGTTGAGGTATGTTCCCTCCAGTCCATTTCCCTCTAGGACTTTGAACATAAATGCATGCTGAATTTTGTCAAAAGCCTTTTCTGCACCTATTGAGATGACAATGTAGTTTTTGTCTTTGAGTCCATTTATATGATTAATGATGTTTATTGACTTGTATATATTAAACCAGCCCTGCATCTCTGGGATAAATCCTACTTGATCATAGTGAATGATCAGTTTCTTACACTTATTTTACTTTTAAAATATTTTACTATTTGTTTATTTATTTATGTGTGCTGGTGCTATAGTGTGCATGTGGAGTTCAGAGGACAGATTATAGAATGTTCTCTCCTTCCACCATGTGAATCATAAGGACTGTGCTCAGGTCATCAGGTTCGGTGACAAACGCCTTTACTGGTTAAGCCATATGATGGGCTCCTTGGTTGTTGTTTTTGTTTTAGACAGGATCTCACTATGCAGCCCTGGATGTCTTGGAACTCTCTATGAAGACCAGGCTGGTCTCAAACTCACAGAGATTCAACTTCCTCAGCCTCCTGAGTACTGGGATTATAGGAACGTGACACCATGCCCACTCATTCTTAAAATATGAGCAATATCTGTGTCTTGACAGAAAAAATACTCTTAAACAAGCTGGGCATGTTGGTGCACATCTGTAATCCTATACTTAGAAGGCTAACAGGAGGATCATGAATTCAAAGCCAGCCTATGCTATATAATGAAATAAAAAAGGATGTTATGAGCGAATTGATGAACACATAAGAGGCTCTGGGCTGCATTCCCAGCATTGCACCAAACCACACCAAAACCAGAGGAACTGAATAGGACAGTTATACGTTTGAGCTGTGAATGCACATGTATCTGTTATTGGAGACAAACAGCTCAAGGCAGGAGGTTTGTTTTGGCTCACAGTTTCTGGGAGTTTAGTCCACAGTTGTTTGGCCCCATATGCTTGGGCATCATGGTGGCAAGAGTGTGTGGCAGAGGTGTTTCTTCATGTGCGGGGAGTGGCCAAGAACAAGACACCCCCAGGACCTACCCCCCCAATCTACTTCCTTCAGCTATGCCCCATCACCTAAAGTTTCTGAAACCTTCCAAAATAGCACCAACCAGCTGGGGATCAAGCACTCAAAACATGAGCCTGCAGGGGGAGTTAATATTCAGGCCATAGCAATATGTAAAATTGTGATGCTGGGAAGACAGCCCAGTGGGTATAGTGCTTGTTACACAGGCATGAGGACCAGAGTTCAGTGCCTGGAACCCACCTGTGTAGCTGGGTGAGGTGGCAGGCACTTGTAATCTTTAAGCTAGGGAGGCAGAGGCAGGCAGATTCCAGGAGCTCTCTACTTAATGACTTCCAGGCCAATGACAGAAACCCTGTTTTTTTTTTTTCAGTATATATTTTTGTGCATTTCATATAATACATCTTAATCACATTTAGACCCTCTCAACTGTCTGCACTCCCCCCATAGCCCTCCCACCAGATTTTGTGTATTGTCATATAGGTTAAGGCCTACTGAGTCAAGTTTGTGTACCCAGATGTTCCTCCATGTGAGTTCATCCACTGGCACCTGCTCAGCCTATCTAGGGTCATTCTTAAAGAAGACAAACTCTCCTTCCTTCAGCAGTGATCAGCTGCCAGTAGTTCATCGGCTAAGGTGTTTCTTTGAGACAGGGTTTCCCTGTGCCCCCAGCTGGCCTGGAACTTGCTATGTAGACCAGGCTGGCCTTCATCTCAGAGATCCACTTGCCTCTGCTTCACAAATCCTGGGATTAAAGGCATGTGCCACTATGCCCAGAAAAAAACCATTTTTTAAAAATGTGTATGTGTGTGTGTGTTTGTACCACAGGGCACACATGGAAGTCAGAGAATAATTTATGGGAGTCAATCCTCTTCTTCCACCATGTGGGTGTGGGGATTGAACTCAAGTCATCAGAGTAACGGCACACTCCTTTACCCCCTGAGCCATGTTGCTGGCCGAGAGTTGAGGATTTTGATGGTAAATACGGCAATAAACGAATAAACTACAGATTTTCTGTGGGAATGGCTGAGAAACTGACTGGTATCTGCAAGTACTCAGAGTGCCCACCAGAGGGAGCAGAGTCCAGGCTCTGTCTTAGATTAAGCTGTAAGCTAAAGCATTAAAAAAGAAAGGGGGAAAAAGCATACCCAAGAATTGGGGTGGTGATACAAGAGACCTTGTGTCAAACAAGATGGAAGGAAACACCTGAGATCCCCACATATGCTCCACGTGACACGAGTGCCTGAGCCAGTACACACACACACACACACACACACACACACACACACATTTGTAAAGATGAAAAGAAATCTCTAAAAGTAAGAACGATAGCATTGAAGGGGACTTTAGAAACAATCTAGTCCTTATTCTTTGGAAAGTTAGACTGATTCCAAATGGTCACATGATGTCCCCCAAATTTAAGCCAAAGAATTAATGAGACAGTTGGAAATGGAATCCAGGTCTCCTGTCTAGAACTCTGGAAAGAAACATGAGCTTTGTTCTAGGAGAAAGTGCACTTTGGTTTTTTTTTTTTTTTTTTTTTGGTTTTTTTGAGACAGGGTCTCCCTGTAGCCCCAGCTGTCCTGGATATCACTATTGTAGACCAGGCTGGCCTTGAACTCATGGAGATTCACCTGCCTCTGCCTCCTGAGTGCTGGGATTAAAGGCATGTGCCATCATGCCCAGCTCGACTTGCTTTGTAGACCAGGCTGGTGTGGACCTCACAGATGTCTGACTATGTACATCTACCTCCCAAGGCTTGTGCCACCACGATGGGCCCAATATATTTTAAAATTTATTGTAATTAATTAATTTTTGTGAACAAGTGTTTTGCCTGCATGTGTGGAAGTGCACCATGTCATGAAATGCCCATGGAGGCCAGAGAGGGCATCAGAGCCTCTGGAACTGGACTTATGGACAGTTGCTAGCTATGATGCAGGTGCTGGGAACTGAACTTAGATCCTCTGAGAGATCAGCCAGAGCCCTTAACCACTGAGTCCTCTCTCCAGCCCCTAATACATTTATTTGTTTAATTAATATGTGTGTGCATATATGTGCCATGGCACACATGTGGAGGTCAGATTGCAACTTGTAAGAGTCAGTTCTCTCCTTCTACCATGTGGTTATCCAAGACTGAGTTCAGGTCTCCAGGCCATCTGGCCAGCCCAACCCCACCCAACCCCCCTATTTTTAAGGTGGGTTCTGGGGATTTGAATTCAAGCCCTCTGCTTGCCCACTCTTACCAGATGAGCCATCTGCCCAGCCCCTAGAGATCTTGGTTCCTTTTCTGCCTCAAGTGTGTGAGTGGATGTCTAGTGACATTCCCCCTTGTAAGGGGTGCTGGGAAGGTTGGGGATGGTCTCTTTCTTGGGTGCAGATGATCTTCCTCTCATGGTCTGAAGACCACAGTTACATCCCTGGAGGGAGGGGGGCAGAGGATGTGGCAGAGGTTATCCAGAATCCTGTATAATGTGGCAATTATAGAAAGTTCTAGAAAAGCATAACAAAATTGTTTTGGTTCCATGAAAAGCATAACAAAATTGTTTTGGTTGCTTTTAGTTACCATAAGCATATATAAGCTGGAGAGATGGCTGAGTGGTCAGGTACAAATACTACTGTGGCAGAGGACCCGAGTTCAGGTCTCAGCACCTACATTGTGTGGTTCACAACTGCCTATAACTCCAGCTCCAGGGTACCAGGTGCCCTCTTCTGGCCACCATGAGCAACTGCACTCATGTGTATACACAGACACACAGGCATATACACATAATAAAAAAACACAGTAAATCTTTTAAAAAAATAAGTACATATGATTTATTTATTAAGGAAAAATCAGCACACAAAAATAAAGAGCTTTAATCATTCATAATCTAAGAAAAATAAAACCTAGCCAAACTGAATTTTCTCAAGCAAAACCTTGCAAAACTAAGCAGTATGTGTTTTAACAGATGCTTCCATGCAGATGAATGCAGTCTTTCTTAGGAGAGTGTTTTTACAGATGTTAAAGCACAGTTCAATGTGGACACAATCACTCCTGGACCCGTGGGGGGGCGCTGTCCTCGGTGCTGAACATGAGTTGGAGGGTAGATGACTCTCTCTGAAACCAGTTCCAGAGGCCTTGCCTGACACCATGACCCACCCGTTAGTGTCTCCATCTTATTTCTATTTGAGCCTTCAGTACTGTTTTGTCTCCTCATCCGGCTCCTTGCTAAGTACAGAGTCTATTTCTAAGTCCCCATGGAGAGCTCTCAACGGAGGTGTTCCATCAAGTTTGGCTGAGCTGAGTTTCTCTTGCTCCCCGACTCCACAGTTCCAGGAAAAACAACTTTCATGTTAGCATTTACAATGCAGTCATGACTACCTGGGGCCTCTGAATTTGTATCTGAAAAGAGAGACCGAAACAAGTGAAGGTTGAGCTCAGAGAAACGTAGAGAAGTGCTTGGGTGGAACTGGCTGACCGGGAATTTCCTTTGTAGATCAGGCTAGCCTTGAATTCACAGAGATCTGCCTACCTCTGCCTTTGGAGTACTGGGATTAAAGGTGTGTGATACTGCACCCAGTGGAATTTGTCTTTTTAAAAAACTTGTAACTGCAGTCAGGCTACAGGGAATCCTTGTCTCCAAAAAAATTGTAATTGCATCTTAATTATTGATTTTGTGTGGCTGTTTGTGTATGTATATATGTGTGTGCACAAATGTGTGCCACAGTACAAAGGTCAGAGGGTAACTTGCAGGGATCAATTTTTCTCCATCCAACCATATGGGTCCCAGGGTCGTCAGGCTTGGTGGCAAGCACCTTTACCCACCAAGCCATCTCACTGGCCCTGGAATTTGTTTTATTACTTGAAGTCTCGTACAAATTTCATCTTCCCTTCCCAGCCAGGTGGGTTTAGTAGTGGTCTCTCTAGAGATCTTCTCTTTGTCCCAAGGTTCTCTCTAGAAAATATAGTCTGAAGCCAACATACTTGGTATTTCTTCTGTCCTCAAATATTCTAACCATTTGAATTTTCTTTTGAGCAGAGTCTTGTATAGCCCATGCTGGCCTAGTAGCTGAGGATGACCCTAAACTCCTGATCCTCCTTCTTCTACCTCCTGAGTGTTGAGATTACAGGCATACACCATGTCCAGTTTATGCAGTGCAGAGGATGGAACTCAGGGCTTTGTCACGCATGCTAGGCAAGCGCTCTGTAACAAAGCCACGTGCCCAGTAATAAATTATAACTTTAAAACATAATAATTTGGTGGTACACACATCTGTTATGCCAGCACTCAAGAGGCTGAAACAGGAGGATCACAACTTTGAGGCCAGCCTGGGCTACATAGTGAGACCCCCATCTCAAAATAATTAAATAAGGGGACTGTAGAGATGTCTGAGTGGTTAAGAGCACTGGTTGCATTTGTAGAAGACCTGGGTTCAGTTCTCAGTGGCTAACAACCTTTTGTAACTCTAGTTCTGGGTATCTGATGCTCTCTTCTGGCCTTTGTGGGTGTTGCACAACATGGGTGCACTTATATGCAGGTAAAACACTCATAAAATAAAAATAAATCAAAAGAAATTAGGAAATACATTTTTTAATTAAATAAGCTGGGTGTGGTGGCACACACCTTTAATCCTAGCATTCAGGAGGCAGAGGCAAGGGGATGCCTGTGAGTTCAAGACCATCCTGGTCTACATAGTGAGTTTCAGGTCAGCTAGGGCTACCTGGTGTCAAACGCTGTTTCAAATAACAAGGAAAACAATGAGGACATCAATGACTTAAGGGCAAAAGGAAACAGGAGAGTCTGAAACCTCTTGGGTTCAAGGAAGGTGGTCAGACTTGAGCTGACCTCTCTCCATCACTCAGAGCCCCATTCAAACTCCTTTTGTCTCTCATTAGACACCCATGAGGCTGACTCTCTCCTCTCTCCACTCTCTCCTACCTGTTCCCCTCCTGAGTTATGCTCACTTCCTACAGTGTGGTCCATAGACCATTGCCTGGACCACACTCTATAACTATGGCTTTGCTTGCCTGAAGGTTCTACCATGGAGGAGAGATGGCAGACTCAGGGAGGCAGGAGGTGGCCACTCACCTTTCTTTCAGGGTCTATGTTGTTCAGTGAAGGCTGGAAGTTGCTGTACATAGAATCCATGTGAACATAGTCTTCTCGTTCTAGGGAGCCACAAGGAGACAGACAGTTAGGAACACAGGCTCTCATCAATCCCTCCAGCCCCACCCACGAAGAGGGGGTTTATCCCACTTCCGTGAGATGGAAAACCATTGAAAATGTGGATCTGGGCTGGAGAGATGGCTCAGCGGTTAAGAACACTGACTGTTCTTGCAGAAGACCCAGGTTCGAATCCCAGCACCCACATGGCAGCTAATAACTGTCAGTAACTCCAGCTCCAGGGGATCTGAGAGCCTCTTCTGTCGTCCACTGGCATTGCACGACACGGGTGCACTTACTTACATGCAGGCATAACACTCATATACATAAAATAAAAATAATAAATAAAATATTTAAAAAAATAAAAAAGAAAATGTAGAAGATCACTTAAATGACTTAATCCCTAAAAGCTCCATAATGTAAGTAATTTAAAGCCACAGTCAGGCTTGGTGGCATACATGTACAATACCAGTGTTCAGGAGGTGGAGGTGGGAGGTTTGAGATTAGCAAGTCCTCTTAATCACTGAGCCGTCTCTCCAGCCCCATGGTCTTGAATTCTTGATCCCCCTGTCTCAGCTACCTGAGTGCTGGAGTTACAGGCATGCACACCCCACTTGGTTTATTTCTAGATTTAAAAAAAAAATTTTGGGACAAACTTCCATGTAGTCCAGGCTGGCCTCAAACTCTCTATGTAGCCAAGGATAACCTTGAACTCCTGTTCTTCCTGCTTCCCCATCCCAAGTGCTGGGATATCCACATTATGTCTCATGCAGGCTCCTGCAGGGGCCACAGGTAGAAACAAGGTTTTTAAATGTGGCACCCAGTATTCTGAGGTGAGAAATTCTTTCCCTCTTTCCTTTGAACACCAGCATCTTCCAACTGGGTCTCCCATGTTTCCTACCCTTTGAGCCTGTGATGGTTTGAATAAGAATGTCCCCCAAAGGCTCCAAATATTTGAATACTTCATCATGAGTTGGCTGTTTTGGGGGGTTTAGGGGGTGTGGCCTTGCTGGAGGAAGCATGTCACTGGGGGTGGCCTTTAGCTTTGCCCCATTTCCAGACTTTGTCTCTGTCTCTGTCTCTGTCTCTGTCTCTGCCTCTCTCTCTCTGCTTTTTTTCTGCTTCCTGTGCCTGCTTGAAGATGTTAGTGCTCAGCTTTTTGCTCTGACTGCCTCCTGCCATGCTTTCCCACGGTGATAGACTTATCCCTTTCGAACCATAAGTCAAATAAACTCTTCCTTCTATAAGCTGCCTTTGTCACGGTGTTTTATCACAGCAACAGAGTAATAACTAATACAGAGCCATGCTGAGCCCCACAGGGATTGCCGATACCTTCACGCAAGTCAAAGCCAATGTTCTGGAATGATCCAGGAGTTGATCTGCCTTCCTCTTCATTCCACTTGTACAAGTCGGACACTCTGGACCTTTGGCTGTGGGCAGAAACCACCACAGAATCCCAGTTATGATCAGAGAGTGGAGACCAGGGGAAGGACCAGGGGAAAGCTATATCCCTGCTTTGGGCAACCCACTGTCCACCTGGAAGACAGAGACTGAAAATGGCAGGATGTTAGGAGGGACGCCTGTGGCTTACCTTTGTGCCTCTCTTCTGTAGCGGATGGAGAACACCAGGAGAATGACAAGGATCACCAACAGCACGGCGACCCCAGCTCCCACCAGCCCATACACCAGACTCTTCTGGATGCCCCAATCACAGGCCTCCCCACTGTACCAGTGAGTATCTGTTGTCAGGCAGCTGAGATAGGAGAGTGGAGAGAGCAGAGAGTCAGCTGGCCGCTGCCTTCATGGGTGTATATTGAGAGACAGAAGGAGTTTGAATGGGGCTCTGAGAGATGGAGAGAGGCCAGCTCAAGTCCAGTCTCAGTATGCTGGTCTTCCCACGAGCCGAGGTCTGGACCTTTAGATTTTGCCTTCAGAAAGTAGCCCAGGACCTAAGGCAGTTGGTTTAACCTTGAGACTTCCCTGGGTTGCAGCCCAAGCTCATTCAACATCTTCACCTCCAGCTCCCTTTTGGGAGCCCCCTTCAACCCATCTCCCCAAGTTCTTTCCCTTGCCCAAGATGCCCCTCAAAACCCTGTTCCTTCCCTGACCCACCCTGGGGGGAGGTGCTTAGGAGTGTCTCCTCCAGGAAGCCACCCCAGAATAATCAGTCAGGTCTCTTTCTGTTGGTGGCCCTTTCCTCTTTCTCTGATTGTGTGTCTGTAGGTGTGTATGTATGTTCACATGTGTGCAGGTACACATGTGTGTTTGTATATATGTGTATGCATGTATGAAGGACAGAAGTCAACCTCAGGTGTCATTCCTCAGGTACTGTTCACTGTGATTTATTTATTGATTTATTATTTATGTAGTTAGTTAGTTAGTTTTTATTTTTAAGATAGGATCTCCCTGTAGCTCTACTGGACTGGAACTCTCTATGTAGACCAGGGTGGCCTTGATCTCACAGAAACCCATCTGTCTCTGCCTCCAAAGTGCTGGCATTAAAACTATGTGCCACCATGCCCAGCTTATTTTTATTTTATGTGTATGAATGTTTTTCCTGTATGTATGTAAGTGTACCTGTGTGTGTAAAGCCCATGGAGGCTGGACTTGGAGAGGGCAATGGATCCCTGGCACTAGAGTTACAGAGGGTTGTTAGCCAGTATGTGGGTGCTGGGAACCAAACCCAAGTCCTCTGCAAGAGCAGCCACTCCTCTTAAGCATTGAGCCGTCTCTATAGTCCCCTGTTGTTGTTTTTAAAAAATAAAAATTTAAATTACATTTATTTGCTTAGTATGAAGGTGCCACATGGTGCATCAGAGGTCAGAGGTGCATGCAGAGGTTCTCTCCTCCTCCCATGTGGTACAGGGGATCAAATCCAGATTGAACTAAAGGTTTGGTGGCAAGTGCCTTTTACTTGCTGAGCCATCTTGCTGGCTCATGGGGGGATGTGTTTTTTTTTTTCTAGACAAGAGGCCTTGTGGCCTCTGCTAGACCGAGAGCTTCCTGAAGGTGGGGTGTCGCTGGTGGTGTCTTGGAGCTTCACATACACAGATGGGCAATGCCTGACCCCCACCCTCACATGGCCTACTTTGGGCTCTACCTTGGGGGTTGGTTTTCTGTCTCTCCTACAATTGTCCCTCCAGCCCCAACCAGATTCCTTCAAGGATAAATACATTCAGGAGATGCAGGATGTAATCTCATGACCTTGGCTTCCAGGAGAGAAGCTAGGCTAGGGGCAAAATGCAACACTCACAGGCACCGAGGACCACTTCGCTCCAGCTGGCATTTGCCGTAGTTACATTCCAAGGAGGCTTTGAAGCCGGACATGCACGGTGTGATACAGTAAAGCTTATCATTCTTGTGTTCCACTGTGAAGTATTGACTGTACACATCCCCAGCTACCTTCTTGCATGTCTCTGAGGGGACACAGAAGAGAGGCTGTGACCAGGAGCTCAGCAGTCCTGCCTGGCTCCTCCTTACCCCATCCTTCCACCTTCCCATTCCTTCCCAGAAACACTTGCATCTCATACCTTCAGGATTATAGTTCTTGACTGACACATTTTGCACCTGGGTGGCGCTTGAGTCGAAACACAGTAAAGCTGTGAAAGAGACAGGTAAAGCTCTTTTTAAAGAGCTCATTTAACACCTTCAAGGGGCAGGGGTGAGGGGGTAAGAGCTAGGCCAGCATTGAGGTTTACATGTGAACTGTCTCCCATAGGGTCATGTGTTTGGACACTTGGTCCCCAGTTGGTGGCGCTGTTTTAGGAGGTTATGGAACCTTTTAGAGGAGGGGCTTAGAGGCAGATATAGGGACAGGGCTTGAAGATTGCAGATTGCCACCACTTCTGCCTGAACTTTCTCCTTCCAGGTCAGAACTTACTCTGTTTGCTCATTTGAGATGGGATCTACCTGTAGCCCCAGCTGGCCTGGATCTCATTGTGTAGACCAGGTTGGCCTTGATCTCACAGAGATCTACCTGCCTCTGCCTCCTGAGTGCTGGGACTAAAGGTGTGTGCCAGCAGGTCTGGCTAGGTCAGGCCTTGGTAAGAAGCAGACAGCAGGTTCCTACCACCACAGAGCTGCCACACCTTCCCTGATGGGATGAACTAGATCTCTTCAAACCTTGAGGCTAAATAAACCCTTCCTGTCTTAGGTTGTTTCTGCCAGTTTATTTAGTTACAGTGCTATTAAAAAAAAACCTACCTGCAGAAGGGGGGATGCCAGTCTTACAGGCCTTTGGATCAGCCATACTCAGAGGGTCCTGTGACTCCTTTTTCTATAGACTTATTTTTATTTTTAATGTTGTGTATGTGTGTGGTTCTGTGCATGTGAATGCGGGTGTCTGAAGAAGCTGGAAGAGGGTGCCAGATACCCGGGAGCTGGAGTTACAAGTTGGTTGTGAACTGGGAACCAAACTTGGGTCCTCTATAAGAGCAGTAAGCACTCTTAACTTCTAAGCCATTTCTCTAGTCCCCCTCCTTGGGTCCTTTATCATCTGTACCCCACCCCACTAACTCATTGTATTTAGAAGAGTCAGAGTACAGGGACTGGAGAGATGGCTCAGCAGTTAAGAGCACTGGGCTGCTCTTGCAGAGGACCAGGGTTTGGCTCCCAGCACCCACATGATGGCTAACAACAGCCCATAATTCCAGTTCCAGGGAACTTTATGCCCTCTTCTGGCCTCTGAGAACATTGTACGCATGTGGTGCATTTACACACATGCAGGTAAAACACTCATACACATAAAATAAAAATAAAATCTAAAACAAAATAAGATTCACTGTGTAGTCAATCACATGAACCTCATTTCCCAGCAGCCCCATCTGTACTGAACCCCTTAATATTGATGCTATGTAGGAATTCTCCATCTCTTTCATCATGCACCTCTTGGAATGCTCCAGAAGGAGTGATAAGCCCTAGCCATGGTTGCTGAATTTCAGTGTCCCACAATCTCCACCTACCTTTTCTTCCTTCCCCTCACAGAAACAAAATATAGGAAGGGGGACAGTTCAAAGAGTTGCTGAAGGTCCCCCCATCTCTCTCTTTACCCTGGGAGCACGTACTTGAACAGGTATTATTAGCGCCGCTTATTTGCTTTTCGGTTGCAGCCTTGATTTTTTCCTTCACATCCATGCTGATGTTCTGGAATTCCTCTTGGTATTCTTGGGTGTACGGGGCCTTCAGGATGACATCATAATCTACCACCACACTGCCACGCCTTGGGGTTGGGGAGAGACCACACTTTTGAGCATCTACCTATGGTCATCGCCAGTTTCATCTTCCCCATCCCTTCCCTGAACAGGAGCTGTTTCTCTGCAATCCTGGGAAGGGTTCCAGGCAGGAGGATTGAGAGTTGGAAGCCAGACTTGGCTATGTAGTGAGTTCAAGCCAGTTTGGGCTATGAAGCAAGACCCTATTTCACACACACACACACACACACAATTTGGATAGGCAAAGAGATAGCTAAGATCATGCAGGAAAAGCCACGGAAGCACGTGAGGAAACGGAAAGATACCATCCTTAACCTCAGACTTTCAGGCTCTGTAACTGTGAGCTTAGAAGAGATTTCTGTTGTTCAAGCTACAGTCTTTGGTGCTCCAGCACAGCATGTGTTGCAGGCTAATGTGGGCAGCCCGGTTATAATGGTCTTTATTATAATCATGACCGTTGCTCCAAAGATCCTCTTCCTGCCAGCCCCACTTACTCACCTTAGTTCTTTGATGACAACTCCTGCATATTCAGGGATCCCGGCATAAATGATTGCCATCTGAAAAGCAAGGGGCCAATGTGTCATCCGAGAGGTCCCACCTTGGGGACTGTAAGACATCAGCACTCCCCTGTCCTCATCCCACATGCCAGAGGCCAAATGGGAAGTTCCCTTCTCAGGCACCTGCCATGTCCTGGCATCTCCTGCAGCTCCTAGGCCAAACTTGCTTCCTCATCCCTCATCCACCCTCTGAAAGCTCCAAGCTTTGAGGACACAGGGAAGTTAAGAAACATACTAAAATACTAAGCTGCCACCAGCTGCCTGATTAACCCTTCTCCACTCCTCCCTGCATGGTGAGGACTGACGGACCTTGGAGAGTGGGTCTACCAGGCTTACCTGCTCTGTGAATTTCTTACTGAAGTCCTTGAATTTCTGGGAGCTATTATTCAGTAGGTCCTCACTGAAATCTTCACTGGTCACTCTGACAGTCACTTCCACAGAGGCAGAGACTGTCTGCTCTAAGGGGGACAGAGAGAAGCATTACTCACTGAATGAGGTCCTTCCCAAGGAAATCCACACCCCCAGCAATATCACCCCGGATGTGATGCATGTCTCTCCTCGTATACTGTTCTCTGGAGGAAGGGGGACATACTGTACTCCTTAGGGGTTATGGATGAAGCCCTTGTGTGTGTGTGTGTGTGTGTGTGTGTGTGTGTGTATGTGTGTAGTTATGCACAGTAGTTAACCACCATGTGGGTGCTGGGAACCAACCCCTGGCCCTCTGCAAGAGCAGCCAGTGCTTTTAACGCTTAGTTAGCTCTCTAACCTATCACCACCACCACCACCATCATCATCATCATTTTGAGACAGGGTCTCACTATATATCCCTGGCTAGTCTGGAACACTGACCAGGCTGGTCTTGAACTCACAGAGATTCACCTGATTCTAACTCCTGAGTGCTGGGATTAAAGGCATATGATTCATTCTTTTTAAAAATGTTTTTAACTTTCTTGGGCTGGAGAGATGATCTGAGGCTTAAGACTGCTTGCTGCTCTTGCAGAGAATCTGGATTTGGCTCCCAGCACAAGGTCGGGTAGCTCACAACAGTCTGTAACTCTATCTCCAGGGGATCCAATGCTCTCATCTGGCCTCCATGGACACTGAATTTATGTGAACACAGCTATATATATATATATATATATACACACACACACACACATAATTTAGAAAACAATAAAAATAATTCTTTTAAAATGTTTTTAAGGCCTGGGTCCTGTGCTCAATGCCACCTGCTTTACTTATGATCTCTAGATGGGCTGACTAGACTCCAGTGGATGAATTTGCACTGAAGGACATCTGGGTACATATGCTTAACTGGACAGTACATAACATGTATGGTGGAATACATGAGGTCGGGTGGGGGAATGGGAGATATGGATGGGGAAGGGGGGGTCTAAATTTGATTAAGGACTGTTCATGAAATTTCAAAAGCTCAATAACAAATTTTAAAAATGTTTTTAAAGGCTAGAGAGATGGCTCAGTGGTTAAGAGCACTGGTGGCTCTTGCAGAGGATTCCCAGCACCCACATAGTGACTAATACCTGTCTGCAACTCCAGTTCTAGGGGATCCAATGCCCTCTCTGGCCTCCATGGGTGCAAGATGGGTGCACTTACATACATGTAGGCAATACACTCATACACACAAAATAAAAATAATAAATAAGCCGGGTGTGGTGGCGCACACCTTTAATCCCAGCACTAGGGAGGCAGAGGCAGGCAGATCTCTGTGAGTTCAAGTCCATCCTGGTTTATATAGTGAGTTCCAGGACAGCTGGGGCTACAGGGAAGACCCTGTCTCAAAAGACCAAAACTAACTAACTAACTAAATAAATAAATAAATAAATAAATAGATAAAGATATTTTTAAAAATATGTAAAAATTGTTTTTAACATTCTTACTATTAGGTAAAAATAAAATACAGATCAGAAGAGGTGGTGCTCGGAGACTCCTGATGGAGACTCACTGGGCCCAGGATTTTCCCACCCCCATGTTGTTTAATTTAATTTCCACTTACCTATCTCAATGCTCTCCACCACGTACTCACACCTTGGCCCATAGAAGACGCTGGTGCACTGACATTTGAGCCCATCCCATGAGCCTCCATTCTGGCAGATGACAGAAACATGCTGACATCGATCTCCCGTGAAGCCGCTGGGGCAAAGGCAGAACTGACCATTCCAAGACCCTCCATTGAGGCAGCTTACTGGAAGAGACAAGGCCAAAGTCAAGTATACATCAAGCGTAGTGTGCCACAGCTTGACCTGTGCTGCAGACACTGCTCCTCCTTCCCTTCTTCCTTCCTCCCTTCGTCCTTCCCTCCTTTCACCCTCCCTTTCTTTCTCTTTTCTTTCCTTTCCCACTCTTTCCTTGTTTATTTATTTGTCTTTCCCTCTCTCTCTGCTTTCTTTTTTTCCTTTTCTTTTCCATTTTCTTTTTTCTTATAATTAAAAAAATGTTTATTTTATGTGTCTGGGTGTATTGCCTGCAAGTGTGTAAGTGCACCCATGTCGTGTAATGCCCCAAGGGTCAGAAGAGGGCGTCGGATCTTCTAGAACTAGAATTATGGATGGTTGTTAGCTGTCACATGAGTGCTGGGAATCGAACCTGGGTCCTCTGCAAGAGCAGCCAGTGCTCTTAACCACCGAGCCATCTCTCCAGCCTCTTTCTTTTTTCTTTTAAAACATTTTTAATTTTATGTGTATGAGTGTTTTGCCTGCATGTATGTACATGTACCATATGTGTGCCTGGTGCCAAGGGAGGACAGAAGAGGCTGTAGGATCCCCTAGAGCTGGTGCATCACAGACAGTTGTGACCTCCCTCCATCTCTTCTTCCTTCCCCCTCTCTTTCCCTCTTTTTTCTTTGACAGTCTCTCACTACGTAGTCTAGGCTGGCATTGAACTTGCAGTCCTCCTGCCTTTGCCTCATGAGTCCTAGGATTAGAGGCCACTATGCCCAGGGACGCTGTCTAATTGGACACCTTCATGAGACTCTGGATGCCCAGGACAGTCATCAACACCCTCATTTTATAGACAAAAGTGAGAGGAGCAGAGGCTAAGAGTCCTGTCCAAGGGCCCACGTGGAGGGTGACTTGACCCAGCCCTGGAGTCCAGCTGGCATGACATCAGCCCAGGGAAATCTGTTGTGAAGTAAGTGGCATCATACAGGAAACAGTGAGGGAGACCAATGGAGATCCCACCAAGGGCAAGAATGCACACTGTACTTGCTCCCGAACGCCTGCTTCAGAAGAGTTTGTACTGGAGCTTGGTACTATTACGACTTCATAATTCCTTTCTTAATTCCTGGGACTTGGGGCTTGAGGGAGGAGTAGACATTATTTAAACAGATAGGACGTAGTTACCGACAACTCTTCATGATCTATATAGAGCAACTTGAAGTCTCCAAATTCTCTGTATTTATATCATGTGTGTGACTCTCTCTCTCTCTCTCTCTCTCTCTCTCTCTCTCTCTCTCTGTGTGTGTGTGTGTGTGTGTGTGTGTCTGTCTATCTGTCTCTGTGTCTGGGCTAGATGTTTTTATCGAGTGTCTTCCTCAATTGCTCACCACCTTCTTTATTTCTTGATTTGCAGACAGGGTCTCTCACTGAACCTGGAGTTCACCAATTTTGCTAAACTAGCTGGCCAGTGAGCCCCAGGAAGCCTCCTGACTCTGCCTCCCCAGGGCTGGGATTACAGGTATTCAGTAGCTTGCCCTGGTTTTTATATGGCCTCTAGAGATCTGAACTCAGGTCCTCAAGTTTGCACAGCAGGCACTGAGTCATCGCCCCATCCTTATTCATTCATTCGTTCATTTATTTGGGGGGGGTTATTTATTTATTTATTTATTTATTTATTGAGACAGGGTCTCAATCTGTATCCTAGGTTGGCCTTGAACTTACTATGTGGCTGTGTCCCAAGGGGCACTTATTCCTCTGAGGGGCGGGGTCTGCTGCAGAGAATTGGCTGCAGAGAGTTAGCTGCCTTGCCTGTGAGGACGTGAGAGGGGGCATTTACCCACCTGGGGCGAGATTGGGGGCCCAGGATGTGTGGATGAAAGCTGACAGAAACTGTGGGCAGGGCGCAGAAGGGATGTGGAATGGCGCAGCTGAGCCACAGAGTGAAATGGGGCGCCTGGTGTGGGGCATCGGGTGTGGGGCCCCAGGTGTTCGCCTTTGGAAGTTACTCTGTTTCCCGTACCTAGGATATGAACTATGAAAAATTCACATAAAGATGTTTTGTATGGTTTGTCTAATAGCACCAGGAGCAAGGGACCCTGAGAGAACTCAGGCGACGGTGGCTAAAGACCTTGCACGTCTTATCCCCTGCTCCCCCTCCCCAGTGCTGGGACTAAAGGCGTGCATGACCACACCTGGCTTATTCAGTGCTGCGTATGGAACCCAGGATTTCATGCATGCCAGACAAGTGCCCACCTACTAAGCTTCAGCCAATGTTCTTCCTTCCTCTCTCCGTCCCTCCCTCCAGAGCTCCCTTCCTTCCTTTCCCCTTCTCCCTTCATATTCTCTCTCTGTTTTTTTGTTTTTAAGAAGGGTCTCAGTATACAGTCTGGTCTGGTCTGGTCTGGAACTCATTATGTAGCCCAGGCAGGCCTCAAAGTCATGCTCTTCCTGCCTAAGCCACCTGAGTGCTTACAATCTTGTGCCACCATGTCCAGTCTTGATGAATGTTTTCAAGTACTTTCATTAGTCTATTTTTATTTATGTCTTATGTTTTATGTCTGTGGGTGTACATGCCTGCATGTATATAAATGTATCCTATGAAGGCCAGAAGAGGGTGTTGGGTCCCCTGGAACTGGAAGGGGCCATGTGGGTTCTGGTAACCTTAGTCCTCTGCAAGAGCAGCCAGTGTTCTTAACTGCTAAGCCATCGCTCCAACTCCTCATTAGCATATTCTATCAAATGCACGCCAAATGTCCTTTCTCAACCTGGGACTAACACATAGAGTAGACCGTACACTATGTAATATGTAATTTATATACGACATAAGAGTATACTACAAGCTAAGAGAAAATACGCAATGGGGTAGAATTTGTCACAACAGGGATGAAGAGGCAAGTGAAGTTCTAGAGGCAGAGAAAGGAGAGAGACTCAAGGATGGAGAATCACTCACAAGAAAGTAGGAGAGACATGAGGACAGAGGTGCACTTAGAGAAAACACGAGGACGGAGATGCACTCATAGGCATGAAAGGAGAGCTGAGAGATGATAGAACTGAGTAAACCTTTTGATATGATTAAACAAAAGAGGACTTCATAGTGGAGACAGGAGCTAAAATGCATGTGAATAACACCAGCGAAAGTTTCTTACAAAATGGAACAGAAAGCAAAACACACACTATGGCATATCGATGACAAAAGCCACTCAAAGGTGGGAAATGCAAATGAAAGATCTAGAGTTAACGGCATAGTATAAAAAAGGCAACAAGTCAAAGACAGAAAACAGCGAAACAGAATGATGAAGGTGGACGGTGACGGTACGGTGTGTGTGTGTGTGTGTGTGTGTTTGTGTGTGTGAATATGCACAAGAAAGAGGTAATTACAGTGTGAGAAATACTGGATAAGAAACGGCAGGAAGAGGAGAGTGTGCTAGGGACACAGGACTCAAGAAGATTCCTCTAATAATGAAGTCAGATCAGCAAAAGAAGACTTGGAATACAAGATTAAGCACAAACCCAGGATTAGGAAAGGAAGAGATCGAAAAGAAATGCTGCTTTAAAATGAGAATATGATCGAGTGGGAACAAAGGACCCAAAGCATAGAAACATGGAAGGTATGGCTGTGGAACCATGAGTCCAAGACGTGGGGGATAACTGAGAGCAGTCAGGATTCAGATGAAAAGAAGAACAGGGACCACAAAATGGCTGAGCGATACACAGCGTGCACGGATACAGGAAGCGCTGAATTCTAAAATCAGCTACGCGCACTACAACCGAGGGAGAAAAATGTAAAATTACTGACCCACTGTAGTCGTGTGAACTGTAGAAGTTGGGGTAGTAGCTGCTTCTGTGGTCACAGTAATGGGAGTAACAGTGGAGGTAATGGTAAGAGTGCTGGGCTTAGAGCTGCTGGGTTCAAGACTGCTGGATTCTGTTGGATTGGTTGCAGGACTGCTGACCACAGTGGGGATGGTGGCAGGACTGCTGGCCTCTGTGGAACTAGTTGCAGGACTGCTGGCCTGAGTGGGGATGGTTGCAGGACTGCTGGCCTCAGTGGGGATGGTTGCAGGACTGCTGGCCTCTGTGGGGATGGTTGCAGGACTGCTGGCCTCAGTGGGGATGGTTGCAGGACTGCTGGCCTCAGTGGGGATGGTTGCAGGACTGCTGGCCTCTGTGGGGATGGTTGGAGGACTGCTGGCATCAGTGGGGATGGATGCAGGACTGCTGGCATCTGTGGGGATGGTTGCAGGACTGCTGGCCTCAGTGGGGATGGTTGCAGGACTGCTGGCCTCTGTGGAGATGGTTGCAGGACTGCTGGCCTCTGTGGGGATGGTTGAAGGACTGCCTGCCTCAGTGGGGATGGTTGCAGGACTGCTGGCCTCTGTGGAGATGGTTGCAGGACTGCTGGCCTCTGTGGGGATGGTTGCAGGACTGCTGGCATCGGTGCGGATGGTTGGAGGACTGCTGGCATCGGTGGGGATGGTTGCAGGACTGCTGACATCAGTGGGGATGGTTGCAGGACTGCTGGCATCTGTGGGGATACTTCGAGGACTGCTGGCATCGGTGGGGATTGTTGCAGGACTGCTGGCCTCTGTGGGGATGGTTGCAGGACTGCTGGCATCAGTGGGGATGGTTGCAGGACTGCTGGCCTCTGTGGGACTAGTTGCAGGACTGCTGGCCTCTGTGGGGATGGTTGCAGGACTGCTGGCATCAGTGGGGATGGATGCAGGACTGCTGGCATCTGTGGGGATGGTTGCAGGACTGCTGGCATCAGTGGGGATGGTAGCAGGACTGCTGGCCTCAGTCGGGATGGTTGCAGGACTGCTGGCATCAGTGGGGATGGTTGCAGGACTGCTGCCATCGGTGGGGATGGTTGCAGGACTGCTGCCATCGGTGGGGATGGTTGCAGGACTGCTGCCATCGGTGGGGATGGTTGCAGGACTGCTGCCATCGGTGGGGATGGTTGCAGGACTGCTGCCATCGGTGGGGATGGTTGCAGGACTGCTGCCATCGGTGGGGATGGTTGCAGGACTGC